TCGGACTCCCCCAGGTCCAATCCAGGATGCAGCTCCCGCCTGCAGCTCGCGCCAGGGGCTGCAGAAGGATCCCGGCCAAGCGCTCGCACCACTCTCAGCTCGCGCGTTGATTGGCTGGCGGAGCTGGTCCAACATCGTTGGCTACTGCCCCGCGGAAGACTGGCTTGAGCGCCAACCAATCGCAAGTCTCTCTGGTGCATCGGCCGCTCCTCTCAGCCAATCCAAAAGAGGATCCAGAAAAAGGCGTGCCCAATAGGAACTGGGCAGCGGTGTCGGTTTGCCGTCAGACCGAGAGGGCCGTGGATGTCACCTTGACAACCTGACCGGTGATGGGAAAGTTAGTCTTGCCCCATCTGCTGATCTCTTCCGGTCCCGAAATAGTCACCCTTGGCGTCACTGAGTCACAGCCTACAGCTTGATTGCTGTGGGACAAACGGGGGGATTTGCGGCTGGGACATGATTTTTCTTTCATTTACATATTCAGATATGCTTATTGGGCTCCCAGTCTGTGAGGACCCAAAGCGCTTGGGGAATCTGAGGGAACTCCACGAAGTGCAGAGGGAAGAAAGTGAACAGATTTGTAACTTTAGGTAGTAACTTGAGGTAACTCAAGTTAGTGAGAAGTGACAAATAACTCGGATTACAGAATAGAAAGTAGCTGAACCAAGAAGCAGCCTCTCACCGGACACCAAATCTCTGGCACCTTGATCTTGGACTTCTAGCCTCCAGAATTGTGAGAAATAAATGTTTGTTTATGCCACCTGATCTATAGCATTTTTGTTGTAGCAGCCGGAATAGACTAAGGCAAGGACCTTTTACACTCTTTAACTTACTGAGGACCCCAACGAGCTTTTGTTTTCGTGGGTTATGCCTACCGATTAGAATTAACAATAAAATTAGAAAGAACTACCAAATGAGAAATAACAACTGAGAAACCTATAACTATATAATATACTTATTTTGAAAGAACAATAAGCCAATCGATACGCGTTACCATGCACAACATATTTTTATGAAAATAACTATACTTTGCAAAACAAAAAAACTAGAAGAGTGGCATTGTTTTATTTTCGCCCACATCTCTGACTGTAATTTCATCGAAGGCAGCTGGATCCTCATCTCTGCTTCGGTGTTCCCTCTGTCGTGGTTTCGCATGGCTTGTAGCCTCTGGAAAACTCCGTTTTACGTTCACGATAGAATGAGAGCGAAAAATGCAAACAGCTGATTATGAATCGTATTTTATGTAACTAGAGGCCAGACACACACTGAGAACCACAGGCCTCTGCAAGCGGGTGAACGAGCATTTTTAAGCCTCTTCCAAGTTGTTTCCTCCATGAAAAAAAAAAATTATATATGCTTGTAGGATGAGCATTCGGATGATTTTACACAGTTTACAAAGGGTGTTCTAAGCAATACAAGGGAAGGATCTAAAAACCAAGGGAGGCAAATTGTGCAGTCTCGTGCCCTCGAAGTCGATGAGGGTACTCTTGGTGCCCTTATTTTGTCTGATTCCCAGGCAAGAACGGTCTCGCCCTACTCGCAACAAGATCCGAAATCCCAATCAAACAGCCTCTTTAAACAGGGCAACCCGAGACCCCTGAAAGCCAGAAAATGTCCAGAAAAGAGCAATCTGAGGTTCTCCTGAATACCCAATAAACCGCAAAATACATTAACACCTACTTCCCAGCATAGCTGGAGATTGGATTACTGGCGTGAGGACCAAATGCACGCATGCATTTAAAAATTTTCAGAGAAAGGGCTATTCTATATAAATTTTGATGGTAGAGGGCACTCTCTCTGCCTCAGCTGGCAGTGGGAAACTGGATGTGGCATCAGAGCTGCTGGATTTCAGTCCTGGCTCCCCGCGCTCTCTCAAGCTGTGCTATTTTGTACACGTCGCTTAACCTCTCTGAGCCCCATACAAAACAGGAATTCGTTGCAAGGCTTAAATGAAAAAAAAAAAAAGATAAGCTGTAAAACGCAAATATTATTTATCATCACTCTCAGCTGCCACTCCTGGGCACAGAAAAGATGGTGGTTATTTGAGTTTTTTGATGGTCATGATTTATAGTCATCGTTTCATCAGGACCACCAATTAATATCCACACACACAAACTGTTAAAAGCCACAGCTTCTCCCGGAGGGAGATCCTAAAGGGTGTAGTGATTTCTGCCTCTAGGGAGATGGCCTGCAAGACTGGGCTCCAACCCAGGTTCCCCAGGACGAAGCACTCAACCTTGAGTGTTTCAAAACTTCCCTGAACACAGTTTTTCTCATTCGTGTTACAGAGATGATCTCTTCTTAGCAGATTGTGTAATTTCAACCAGCCAGGGCAGACAGAGCTGAGCTGACACGCGGAAGATTTAGTTTATGAGAATTGCTGTTGTCGTTTATGGGAGGCATAAAGTCACCATATCCCTTTCCCATTACCTTTATGTCAACCTGTGGAACACTGGTCCTGAAAACTCATCTAAAAAAGAACTGTTTCTCTACTCACAACACTTGGACAGCGGATGTGTGGGGTTTTCTCTCACCTTCCAGAATTAGCACAGATCCCACAGGTCAAACACTCAGCCCCACAAGACGGCTCCCACCTCAGATGCCAATCCCACAAGTAGTGGGGTCCCCAGATCACCCACATTTCTGCCTGACTTGGCTACTTTTCAGAGATTCCATGACCTGTAATTTGCTAGAATGGCTCAGAACTCAGGGAACCATTTACGTGTATTTATAGTTTATTAGAAAGGACGTGACGAAGGACACAGATGCACAGCCAGAGGAAGAGGCACACGGGGTGAGGTCCAGAACAGTCCCAAGTGCAGGAGCTTCTGTCCCCATGGAGTTGCGGTACGCCACCCTCCTGGCACGTGGATGTGTTCACCAACCCAGAAGCTCTCAGCACCCTGCTGTTGAGGATTTTTATGGAGATTCTATTATGTAGGCACGGGTGATTAAACCACTGGCCATTGCTGACTATCTCAGCCCCTTCTCCCCTCCCCGGAGGGTGGAGAGGGTCTGAAAACCCTCCAATCACATCGTTGGTTCTTCCAGCTGTAGAACAGGTATGTGGCTATACCCATGTCATCATTTTTGAGTCGTTATTTTGCTATCGTAAAGAACAGGTCCCGGCTAACACACGTCATTAAGAAGATTTAGACAAACTTTATCAAAACTGTTTATACTCGTCAGAAATAGCATTTCTTGGTTTAATTAAAGATGGCCAGCTTTCAGTTAAGACGTTACCTCTGAGTAAGTGAACGGTCTGCTTGGGGGAACAAAACTGACCGTGCCCAGGGTTGGCGATGGGGTGCAGGGACTGGAATTCTCACACCTCACTGGTGGGGATGTCAAACGGTACCAACCCTTTGGGAAATGGTTTCTTGAAGAATCAAACACATACTTAGCAGATGGTCCAGCCATTCCACCCCTAAGTATTTATTCACCCAAGAGAAATGAAGAATATGTTCGTCCGAACACCTGTGCATGGGTGTTCCCAGCTGCTTTATTTGCCCCAAACTGGAAACGTCCCCAACCCATCAACAGGTGAGTGGATAACCAAACGGAGGTATGTTCATACCGTAGACTACTACCCGGCAATAAAAAGGTGAGAACCACAGACACACACAACCTAGATGGGTTTCAAAATAATTATGCAGGGGGGAAAAGACAGCCCCTTGTGTTTGATCCCAATCAGTTTGCACACATCAGGGGTTGCTTGGCGGCGTAAGAGCAGGGAGGGACCAGGAAGAGACATGAGGGACTTTGGGAGGCGACGGTCGTCACGCTCCCTTATCTTGATTGCAGCCATGTTTTCACGGGTAGAGACACACATCGAAAGTTATCAAACCGTACACTCGAAACGTGGGCAGTTCACTGCACGTCAGTTATACCTCCGTGAGGCTGTTTTAACAAAACCAGCAAACAGGCCGTAGGAAACCTGGACTGAAACCAGACGCAGAGGGGACGGGTGTGACACCTAGCTGACCTGGGCATTAAGTAAAGCACATGCCGGCTGCAACGGTGGCCATGACCAGAGGCAGCTGGTGGCTTTCAGCAGAAGGAAGGGTTGGGCAGGACGTCTGGCCGACGCTGTCGGGGGGAGCTGTCATCCCCTTGTTGGCTCGGTCTAATCACACTCCTGCCTGGCACAGCAGCCCCTGGCGAGGACAGGCTCCTGCTCCATCTAATTCCTCTGGGTCACCATGACCCGCTCCCACCCGCCTCCCCAGCCTGCTTTTCATTCAGATCTGTCTTTTTTAAATGTGTTCTTGCAAAACGATTATTTTAACCACATGTTATTTAATTCGCTCTTGGACGACAGTTTGCATAGCTCATTCTGGTTCCTACTTGCTCACCCAGCACTGTTGCTATGGCTACTAGTTGCTGCATTCCCTCCCCTGATGTGGGGTTGCTGCGTCTGATCTGCACGCTCTCCCAGCCAGGTGGCCTCCAGATAGTGGGGCCTCACACTGTGCCCTGGGGGATCCCTGCGAGACTTGCTTTGCGAGATCAACAAACCCAAGAGCAATGCTTTTGGGTCATAAGTGGATTTAATTCGACTGTTCTCTTACTATATTTATTCCTGAATGTCTGCTAGGAAAACACTTTTTAGCACCCACAAAAGCATCTCGAAAGCATCTCGGTTCAGGGTGGAGTGGAGGGGTGTACATCAGTTGCAAAACCCTGGTAGGGTTTCCCAAATTAGGAAATGAAAATACGGGATGCCTGGTTAAATCTGAACTTCAGATAAGCAACGAATACTTTTTCGTATTACTGTCTCAGATGACACATGGGATATACATATACTAAAATGTGTTTGTTGTTTATGTGACACTCAAATTTAGGCAGGCATCCTGTTTTTTATCCGACAATTCAAATTTTAAATTCAAGATTGTATGACCTTCTCAGACTAGGTAACAGAATCGATCATGTCAAAACTGGGAAAACTCCACAAACACTTGGCTGGAAGCGATGAAATATATTTAGGAAGTCCGTACAACAAAATTACAATAAACATTTATTAATAGCTGCAATTTCCACAATATTTTAATTCTGTTCTGAAATCAGTCTACAAATATCTCTACATAACACCAAAGCCATTATTTAATAAATAACAGGAATGTATGTATCACTTTGCAAAAAAAAATAAGCCTTATACATTTACGTCTATATATATTTGTAGAATCAGTTTCCCGAGACTCATGAGACTAAAGTGTGCACACACCACACACACACACACACGCGCACACACCCCACTATATTCAAATCAAAGGGATTTAGATTCAGTGTCAAATTAAACGCTATATCAAATTCATAACCAGGTACACAAAATAGGAATTGAATCATAAATGCACTGTTGGCAATGGGCGCCTTACTTCACGAATATGATTTCCAGTTAAGAAGAGGGAACTGCTCTGCTGGGTTTGAAGTGAGCGCTAATCACCATCACCATCACGAGAAATCGGTTTAATTACACGGTATTCAGAGATTTAACACACATGCAGATGTTAGACTGACGCTACGGTAAAACCTTTAAATCTGCAAGAAGACATTAGGACGTATGGTCAATAACTCCACCAGCTGCCACAGGCTTTCAGTAGACGACGCAAGTGACAATCAGTTTGTTTGTTTTTTGCCACCACAAGGGACAAACTGGTCCTGATCCATCCATGTGCTACACATCGAGGAATCGCAGAAGAGCAAAGCATAGAATTCGGCTTATGCCAGATACTGTACATCATATTGATGGCTGTCTAATATTAGTTTTAAGGGTACTGTGTTAGATCCTGCAAAATATATATAATTCTATTATTCACAAGCTGAGGAGCAGAAGTCCAACACTCGAATGGCCATAAACAAAGACTTTGCAGAATGGTGACGTATTATTTAAAAAATGAAGTTGGGGGGTTGACACCGTAAGGTCTTAGGAATCCCCTTTAACTCGAGCTAGCTGATGGCAAGCGCAGGCTTTTTGGTTAAGTCAGCAGACTCGACACCAAGCAGGGAAAAGGCGGCAAACCAAGCAGGCAGATGTCATTCATCAAAAGCATCTTAAGAAGTAACGGGAAGCAGGGAAAGGAAGCAGTTTACGATTCCTACCTGGGACAAAGCATATGAACTACTGTTTCAGAGTCTGATTGGCTATCTGACATGTCATTCCTAGTCTCTCCGTAAGGCTGCTGAATCAGAGACAGACTAACAACCAACGTGGTTCCCATCTTCCCCAGAAGCCAGCCCTCGTGGCCGTGCGAAAGTCCTGACCACCGGCCCCCACCTGTACGTTCACAGCCAATTAGAGATGTCCCCACCCAGCCACTTCCCACCACCACAGTCGGCAAGGCATGGTCCCGGCCCCCCTCTCTCCGCGTCCGTGTGGCGCCCTGTGCCTCTCATCTCGGGGTATTAAAAACCCTTTCCCTGGCATTAACCCCGACGGGTCACCACTCGGTGCTCACCTTCATAAACGAACTCCGGCGTAACTCACGAGGCCAGCTTGCAAGAATTTCTGCCGCTCTTGTTGTACTGTGTTCCCAGAAGTGATACGGGGGTCTCACCACAACGTGAAGCAAAACCAACCAACCAACCAACCAACACACCAAAAACACCCGACGGCAAGTAAAGCTGATGGGTTTCGGAAAATATATTTATGGAATAAAAATACATTCCATAAATTGCGCACCACAAAAGCATCTTCGCCAGCCCGTCAAGGAAGAGCTCGTTATCAACACTGAGCCCAAAACGTCCACGCGAATCCAGCAATTTAGAGGTCACCGGTCCTTCCTCTTTTCTGTCCTTGGTGTTTACTGTGATACTGAAATACTGCAGGATTAACACTGATGAAGATACTTTAAAAACCGAGTCATTATAACGGATCCACAGTAGGTCTCACCGGGATGGTTTTTAAATCACATTTGATTTAGTGCTGCGCGAATATATTCTACAGCCCTGAAGATATAAAAAAGGGTTCTCTTCAAGGCATGAGATATGGTACAAAAATACATTTTTCCACATACAAAAGAGAGAAAAAAGAAAGAAATGGGAGTGGGCTGTAGCAGGAGGGAGCCAAATACCCTACAAACTTCCGTGGAATGGAGAAAGAAAAAAGTCCCAAACTATTTGGGGTTAAGATGATGCCCAAAGAAAAGTCAAAGTTCTGCGTTAAAAAGGAAGAGTTATCGAGACCTAACATCTAGGACATCTATCAGAATTTCAAACAAGGTTCTACCCCGAAGTGAGACTCCAGATTAAGTACAGGTTCTTTTATTAAAAATAAAAGTATCTCTCCCTTGAGTGTATCAAACTGTAAACTGGGCTTCAGAGCCTACACTTAGCCGATTTGGTAAAAACGGTGCGAGGGCTTGACAGCGATTTTCAGTTGATGCTTGTGGTCTCACCTAGCTAGGGCCCAGACTCAGGGGCCTTCCCTGATTTAATGGCAGATAAAATGGCTTTCCGGCCTAGGGCCCTTCAGGTCTCATGTGTGAGGGCGGGGGCGGGGGCGGGGATTGGAGTCGCTGTTATACAGTGAGAGCTCAAGACTTAAAGGCTTTGTGCAGAATATGCCAATTTCCCACGGTCTACATAAGCAAAGCAATGTTTTAGTACCTAAGCGTGCCAACACACAAAAGCCAAATGCACACGCAAACGAAGGAGGGCAAGGATGACCTCCCCAGGTGAAAATGGATTCATCCATAAGTATCTAAATGACAAAACTGGACCGATGTCAATCCAGAAACCACAGGTTTCAAATGCTCACAGATAAAGATTTGCCTAAGCAAACCTCGGGGAACAGGTCGATATGATTCCAGGAAATGAACCAAATGCAGGAGTGTTTGGGTCCCGTGATGTGCACCTTAAAAAGAGAAGTTTCATAAATGTCTTCCAAAACATCTGCTTCTGTTTTCCAGGTACTTGCAACCAAAAATAAAACTTCACAGAAACCTCGCACAGGCGTTAGCAGACAGCTGAGTTATCTCCAATCTGATACCTAGACCACAAGGTCTTGGTTTTACCTGATGGGACGGGGAGGGGTCTCTGCACATGTGCGTCCAGGGGCTCTGGGTGGGGGCTGCCGGGGCGCAGAGGCGGGCAGCGAAGGACTACGGAGAACATCTCGACCCCTAGCAGTTTTCAAAACTGCAATCTGCCTCGGCGGGACCTTCCTTTACTTGCCATTTTTCTGTTGCTTGCCAACACCCTTGGGGCCCTGGAAAGGGGGTGTTTCTACTCAGCTCTAAGCCTTGCAAAGCTCCCCTGGCCGGGACCCCCACAGCTGTCTGCCCAGCGTGTACCTCTGCCCGTAGAGACTCCCTAAAACGAGGACACCACAGACTTTAGACAGAAAGCACCCAACGCGTGTATTGTAAAAACGTCAGGAGAAACAATCCAGGTCTTCTCCAGAGCTAGTTGACACCACTTATTGTTCCTGAGACTCTTTACAAGCAGCGATAAGACTTGAAAATGTTCTTAGCTGCTTTGGTTTATTCTCCTTCTAAGGTCCTGAGTCAACCAAAACCAAAATGCAACGAATAATCAAAAAACCCTTGAGCGTGGATCTCTCTCTACAGGCCCAGCTGGCAAACGGCAAAATCAGGACATCGAAGAGATTTCTGAGTGAGCTCGGAAGCCTACCCAGGTGGCTCCTGACAGCAAACCCCAAGGACGTTTCTTTGCCCAATCCTTGAGTTTTTCCTTTACAAAATGTTGAGGTTAAAATTCATCCACGTACAGAAGGGGAGAGGGAGAGAAATCTCAGGTTTTCCACAAAGAATGACTTCTTAGAAATATAATTGATGCCAGCCTGGCTAGGATCGCCAGGGTCCAAGAGGCATCTAGTTCCAGCCTCAAGCCCAACCGTCTACATTCAGAAGCGACAACATTCATCGGCTTGGTCGACATCGACCAAGAATAACATAAAACGAAGCTCACCGCTTTGGAACAGGAAAATAACGCACACAGACCTCACCCACCAATCCCTCCACTGTGAAAACAAACGCTTCACTTTTCTAAAATGTCAAACTAGCGTATTCCTCCCCTCCATGTATAGTTCTAATACACTTGATTCGGATCTGCCTTTATTAAAAAACCTTACAAAAGATGTATTTAAATGCTTGAAAAAATTAACTTTATGCTCTATGCAGATAAACTTCTCTGACTGTACAGTTAATATGGTTATATCCTTTGTTTAAAAAATATTTCTCCCACTAATGACACTCCGTAGGCAGTTCTACATGAATGATCTTGTCATTTCTCTCGGAATGTGTCCCAAGAGTTTACCTTGGCCGGAAATACCCTCACAGAGCGCCACTCTCTTGCTCAGGGACGTTTATTAAGATTGTTTCGGGCTCAGCATTCTCTTTTTCTTTCTCTTTTTCTGTTTTCTGAGAGAGGGCGCTGGTGTGAGGGGACCCGGCCGGCTGGCTGATTGTCACTTGCTGTTGGCACGGTCGAGACTTTCTAGCACTCGGTTGAGGCGTATGTTAAGCAGTCTGACCTGGTTCTCCAGGTGTTCCAGCTTCTCCTCCACGCTGGGGCCGCTGGGGCCGCCACGCCAGTAGAAGCCCATGGGGCCAGTCATGAAGTAGACGGCCACCACGAAGCACAGGGGCAGGATGGCGTTCTCCGGCTCGCCCTCGTACTTGTGCAGGATGTACACGCAGGACATGGAGAACAGGATGACCCGAAAGACCCAGAAGAAGCGGCCGAACACCACATGCAGGACGCTGAAGGTGAAGCCCAAGGTCAGAGACAAGAACCAGTAGGCCAGGAGGACGATGCCGACGAGCAGGAGGGCGCGCACCGGGCTGTTGGCCACCGAGGCTGGGCTGAAATAGTGGGACAGGTTCGAGACTGCAGAACAGAAGAGGGACAGCGGCTGGTTACAGGGCGTCGGGGCTTCCTCCACACGCTGGGACGGGGCGGCACAGCTCACTTGCTGGGTGTCTCCCACAGCCTGAGGCACTAAGCTGCCTCCACGACCTTCATACTAAAAACCCTGTGAGAAGACAGAGCGAGCCTTTCCGACTGCCTGCCGTCTCCCGGGTTTAAAACACCTGTCACGGTGGGGCAGAGCCTGCAGACTCTCCTCCAATCTCCCTCCTTCCTGTCTTCCACAGTCACAAGTGCCCAGTTTCTGGCTGGGCACGCGGCTGCCTGCATTAAAGGCATCTCCCAAGTCTCCCTTCTGGCCACATAACTAAGCTCTGGTCAAGGAGAGGGAAGCAGAAGTGTTCTGTGGTCACTTCAAGGGGTTTTTCCTAAAAGTAGC